TACGTAATTATGCATATCCTAGCTGAATATAAAAATACGTATAGTACTTTCAAAGCATATTTTCGCTGAAAAAAAATTTTTTAGAAAGCTTTTTATCAGTTCAAAAAAATTGCTAAAAATATTTACAGCTGTTTTCATAAATTCTGTAACACTTAAAAATTTCTTTTTTTCCGAAATCTCTTGATTTTATTCTAATAATAACCTAAATCGAGGAGGTTTCGGGAAAAGAGCCAATTTTTAGGTATTCCAGAATTTTGAAAATAACTAAATGTCAGCAGATCTTCATCAATAAGTTGAATACTTTTGAAACAAATTTTCGACAAACATTAATAAAATCAATACGTACGTAATAAAATTTCTAGCTTAGCAAACTGAAAACTATATGGTTTGAATTATCACACCAATTTTTGGTTTGGGTTTAAACCGGAGTGCACTAGAATATGATATTCCAATTAAAACTCTCCATCATTACCACCAAGAACTATGTTACCATGGTAAATAATCATAAGTTCGCTCAGTTTTATCCGACCACCTAAAATCAGTCTCTTCTATATCGGTATAATCTTTTTAATTCTTCACGTTACACTAAAACCTGAAACTTGTGGGGGAAAATACGATTTCATATTGGGACGAACTCAACTTTAATTAGAAACAATCAACGGTCTCGTGACAACGAGCATTAAATACGGCATTAAATACAGCATTAATACGCCGATTCACGACATAGCGATAGTAAAAAAAAAAAAAATCAGATATGCAATAGTCACCGAAATAGTACATACGAAAATTACGAAAATAACGGGAATTTTTTTCTATCAAGAAAAATTTACCGTTCGTAATAGAATCATGAAATACTAGGAAAAAAAAAATTTTTAAAACGAATTTCTTAAAAGAATTATATAATAGAAAAATCAATAAATAAACGGAATATAATGAAAATTTATAATAAAGAAGGGAAAAATAAAGTTTAAGGAATGTTTATTTAAAGTGTTCATTGAAGAGTAACAAATAAGGAAGACGTTGGAAGATCACCACCATAAATAAAAGATTTTGTAGAAGGAATCGAAGCAAACATGGAATTACTTTTATTTAACAAAGTGGTACAATGAGGTGATACAATAAGCATAAAAAATTCAATGTTACCATCTTGTAGATTCCCAAAACGGATATTCGGAATTTAACGCCTCGGAGTTTAATATCCGGTGTGACAAAAGCACGTGTGATGTCATTTTTCTAAAAAATTTAAAAATTGTTTCTTTTTTCAGGAGTTAATCTTGAAAAAAAAAAAAATTTTTTTATCTTCGATTTTTATCTTCGATTTTTATTTTTATTTTTATTTATTTATTTAATTTTTTTTTTTTGAGAATTGATTAAATTTAAAAATTGATTCTTTTTTTCAGGAGTGAATCTCCAAAAAAAAAAAAATTTTTTTTGTCATCAATTTCTTTTTTTTTGAGAATTGATAAAAAATGACGAGATACATGACTCGCTCACTTGCACGAAAAGCGAAAAGAAGAGGTTCTAATGAACAAGAAATTTCCGATAATGAAGATGAAAAGAAAGCATTTCGAAGATATTTAAAATCAGCACAAAATGGAAATGCGGCAGGACAAAATAGTGTTGGACAATGTTATAAAAATGGAACGGGAGTTGAAAAAGATGAAAAGATGGCATTTAAATGGTATTTAAAATCAGCCAAAAATGGAAATTCACAAGGTCAATATAATCTTGGATGGTGTTATGAAAATGGAGTAGGAATTAGTAAAAATAAGGAAAAAGCGTTTGAATGGTATAAGAAATCGGCCGAAGGAGGGAATTCACATGGACAATTTAGCGTAGGATATTATTTTGAAAAAGGGATATGTGTAGATAAAGATGAAAAGAAAGCGTTTGAATGGTATTTAAAATCAGCCGAAGGAGGAAATCCAAGCGGACAATGCAATATTGGATATTGTTATGAAAAAGGAATATACGTTGCTAAAGATGAAAAAAA